ACTCCAAAGAGAAAGGAAAACTTGAAATCGCATCATATGACCCCTTTAAAGCATTATGGTTTGGGAGGTTTTACATGTTGCTTTTTAGTAAACCACTTAAATGTACGTTGGATTATGCTTTGCATTGGATCAGCCTGATGTTGCAATGGTGATTTGAGTAAAAACCAATATTAAAGGTGTCTAATGTTTCAGACAAGTTATACATGGATTCAAATCCATTTGCATAGGCTAGTGTATTTAGTTTGTCTTTTGGAAAAGAGCCAGACCTGCTCAGCTCACAGAGGTTTAAATTCAAAGCAGCTGAGAGGACAGGAGAGGTACAGATGCCTCTGCCAGTTAATTAGAATGCATTCCCCCGGGATCATTCCGGCTTCTGGCCTGCCCACATAAAAGCTAGCCTGAGGGAGCAAAAATGAAGATAACTGAGTGTTCTAGAGAGCTTTTGGAAACCGTTTGGGGCCATTTGTCCTCCCCCAGCCTCAGCCATCAATGAGTTTTGAAGAACGCTTATTGATTGGTCATGCCATGAGGTAAGTGTTGGAGGAGGAATTGATGATGCTGCAGCTTTTTGTTACCCAAGCTGCACTCAAGCTGTGAGTGAGATAAGACAAGGCCCGTCCATGACAGTTTAGACCCACTTCTGTTTTTGCATTCGGAATAATATTTTTTAATGGTTCTTACACATTGTTTTCTTCATATGCATTGTTATTTGTTTAGTTACAGTGCAACACTGCAGTGAACGTTCTCTTTTTTTTTTTTCTCCACAATGTTCCGTAATTAATTCAGCTTCAACTGCATAATATACAGACTTCATCCAAACTTTGTTTTGTAGCCTTAGGTATGTGATCTGTTTTTCTTCTTCTTCTTCAGATATAGCATTATGAGGAATTATCTTTTGAGATTGTATTGTGAAAACATACTGTAACTTTCAAAACCCAAAACTTCCTTCCCAGTCCACAAAGAGCAACAAAAAGCATGAGCTGTAAAAATGACTTGTTCTGAGTGATGTCAAACAGATAAATATACATTTCATTTTTTTTTCAGTCAAAGTTTGGTATCATAAACCATTCAGAGAGAAATCAGAGAAATTTTGGAAAATGGTCATTGCGCTAAAATATTTTTCGCCACTATTTTTGAAATGCTAAAGTACTGCAAAATATTGCTACTAAATTATAAGTGCAATACAAAATAATAATAAACGAATTGCTTCCTATAAAGTTTGTAAATCTCTCTAAATTACATTACATGATGTATAAAATGTGGAGCATTCAAATTCTAATCAACACTGATGATATCATTGCAGTATTTGAATGCAGTATTAGTCTTCCTTTTTTAAATTGATTTACATATTGAATTATCGTGATTGATCTTTTCTTTCTTACATTCTTTAGTCATTAATTTAGCATGTATCAGCCTCTCTCCATTTCTCTCTCTAACACTATATTTTACCTAACATTTGAACACTCTTTTGCTGCCTTGCAAGCACAGATATTTCCTCTAGGAAATGCAAATCTAGTTATTTTTTATTTTTGTTTCATTTTTGTTTTCTTCTATGCTACTATCCAATATCATTTTCTTCATCAGCCCCCAAGAAATGAAACCCTAACCGCTCACTGCAAGGAAGAGCAATTATATAGTCCCTGCTATGCCATTTAACATCATTTTCCTAAAACAATCAAACTGTTTTTCCAGTTATTGCGCTCAAGTCCAAATCCCAGCTCTGCGTGTTTTAGCTAAAGGTCACGCTGACGTCTGGTTTTATTGAACCTCTGGACTGAATGCTTTGCGATTGCTTTCATTTGGGCTCATGCGCTGGGCTCTCTCTGTGTTCAGACCGGTGTGAATAGCTTCTGTCTGTGGGCGAGCACAGGGTCACTCTGGTCTGTCTTTGCCCGTCACGACGGGGTGAAAACTACCCTCAAGGACACCAAATCTCTTTCTGGCCAACACAAAGGTGACAGTGATAGAGGTGGGATCAATGTGCCAGCGGGGGGAGGAAGATTACAAAGTGAGCGCAGGAATCTTCGGGTATTTACTTCACATTAACTCAGAGCGCAACTGTAATCCAGCCCCATAATGCCTCTCAGAAATCAGCCCACCTTCATCCGTCTATGTTACATGCTGGGATTTCAGTAATCTGCTGCTGTGAAATATTACAGTTGTTGAATATTGTCATTTAAAGTGCCCGTATTATGTTCAATTACAAGTTCATAATTTTATTTTTGGGCTATGCTAGAATACATTTAGATGATTTACAGATCATTGAGCACATTATTTTTTGTAATTCTATACACTGCAGCAGCATTTCTTTTCACCCACTGCCTGAAACGCTCTTGTTTTAGCTCCTGTCTCTTTAAATCCAACTCTGTCTGCTTCAGCCCAGTCTGTTGTGATTGGTCAAACGTTTAAAGTGTGTGTTTGAAATGTTATGGCCATTACCATAATCAGGTTTTAGCTCCTGAGGCTTCATGAGCAGCTGTAAAGAATAACTATGGCATCTCTATAGTAAGTCCATACAATGTTTTTGCCCTTGCAGTGAAAAAAAAAAACAGCGTCTTCTCGACATATCGAAATCACATACCCAACTGTTGTTTGAGGGCAGACAAAAGCAGCCAGTAGGTGGGCATTATGCAAATGTGTAACATGATGACATACCTAAGTCCCAGAAATAATGGGAGGACTACCAATGAGGCGTTTCAGGCAAGTGTTTTCTTTTTTGGAAGTTTCTTTGGTGTGGACTTTGTGGTTTGTAACTTTGCAGATTGTTTACATGCACAAGCAACTACTGTGTATTAAACATTAACCCTGCTGGAGAAAAAAAACAGCATTAGCTGGTTAGGTATGTTTTGAAGAATGGCAGCTGGTTTGAACTGGTTTAAGCTGGTCCATAGTTGGTCATGAGCTGGTTTAAGCTGGTTATGAACTGGTCCTGAGCAGAAGCTAGTTCCTTAGGACCAGGTTAGGACCAGGTTAGGACCAGCTCAGGACCAACTTAAACCAGCTCATGATCAGTTTTTAACCAGCTCAAACCAGCTGTCATGCTTCAAAACATACCTAACCAGCTTGTGCTGTTTTGTTTTTTTTCAACAGGGAACGGAAAGGTTAAAAAAAAATGCATAATCACCTAGCATCAAAGACCACTGGTTATTTCAAGGACTGATTCACTTCAAATGTAAATTCTATCATGTCTTCGGTTAGCGCTAGTGTTCTGTGTCGTGTGCGCGTCAGGTCTCGGTCTGGACCCTTTGAATGGAATCGTGTCATTAGACCCTGGCTGTGTCCACATCAAGGTTGTAGAGTGGTCCTGCTGGCCCGCAGGCTGTGAAGTTCAGTTGTGATCTCTGTTCTTCCGCCAGCTCTCGCTCAGGTGTGAGGAGCCTGCAGCAGTATTTGTTTGTGGGACAGGACTGATAATCTCACTGGCTCCAAAAGCCTTCAGTGGAGCCAAAAGTCAAGGGCATTATGGCAAAAGAGCATCAGAGAAGATACGGCTGCGTCATTAGATCACAGTCTTTAATGTTTTGGGGAAGCGTTAAAGGTTGGCCAAAAATGAAAATTCTGTCATTATGTTGTTCCAGATCTATACGAGGTTGTCTCTTCTGTGGAACAAGAAAGGACACGGATGATATACTGTAGAAATCATTTAGTGGAAAGGACAAAAAAGGGTCTCTAAAAGTACTGCAAGTAATCCAAATGAGTGTGCTGTAATCCATTTCTCTCAAACTGGCTAACACTTTATTTCAATTCCAATTTAGACATTCTACTAACTATAACTTTGCAACTACCTGTACATGCCAACTAACTGTAATGAACTGCAATACATTTGCAACTCTCACTAGAGTATCAGTAGACAGTTAGGGTTAGGGTTAGTAGAATAAGTTGACATACTTGCAGAGTTGCTTAGGCAGTTGAATGTGTGTTGGTGGAGAATCAAAATAAACTGTGAGCAGATATTGACTCAGAAAATACTCTAATGATTGCTTGTTGACATGTAGTTGCAGTTACTTATAGTTAGTAGAATGTTTAAAGTGGACTATCAAAATAAAGTGTTACCCTAAACTGTGTTAAATATTTGTGTGGTGTGACATTCAGTGAAGCCAAATGGCATTGGTTCGCTCTTAATCACTAATAATGCACAGGTTTGATAGATATGTGTACTGTAGAAGATTTTTGTAACAAGGGAAATTTAGTATTTCCCTTTTTAAAAAAAAGCTACCATGCATTTGCAGAACACTTACAATATGGTGCAAGAGTCATATAAACTGTTTATGGTGCTTTTTGTTCTCTTTTGGACTTGACATTGCCTAGTAGAAGACATGTAAGTAAATTTACCAAAACATGTCAACTTACCCTAACCCAACAATCTACTAATACTCCATTAGTACCCTAATGATAATTCCTAGATGTTGACATAGAATGAATTCCATTTGAAAGTGAGCATTACTATCGCTTTAAAAAAAAAAAAGTATTTTTAGTATATTTTATATATATATATAAAAGTATATTTACTTTTACGTGCATATGTGTTCACCCTGCACAAAGCATGTGTCACAACCAACTGCTTTCAAAATCTCATGTGAGATCTTACCTTGGGGTTCAAAATGAATCATGAGGACACATCACCCAGGATCATAAACAGCAAAATTATGACCTTGAGGTGATCGTTGTTTGTACGCTTCACTAATGGCCACTATTGAAAGGGGTCTGAGGTGAAGGTTGCAGGGTCAGATCGGGTCAGTCATCAGCGCACCCAGCCCAGCAGTGACGCCCTTTGTTCATGCGTAGGAAGTCAGAGACATGTAGGGGTTTGTCCATGTGTATTCCCGTTGGTCAGCGTACAGTAGCAAGCCACATCAAAGACTGTCAGCCGCTGCATGTGGAAACATCCATCAATGTTGAGCGCCTTTGTCACTTAAGAGGAGCTCTCCTGAGGGACGATATAAGACCCCTGCGCTCTTCTTACATGGATTGTAAACTGTTATTGATTCTCTTTCCTGTAGGTCGTGGCACTCGGGAAGAACAGTCGGGGCTACCATTATGTTATTGCCAATCTGGTAAGTTTCAGCACCTCTGTACTCTAACTAAATCAGAGAGATTTTCAGAAATAATGGAAATTCAAAGACAAATAACAATGTTCAAGAAGATGAAAAGATACACATCCACTACAAAACATGCAACAAAGGAGTGTAATATATGTATATATATATGATAGTTTTTTTGTCATTTTTATATGATTGTCAACTAAATTTAACTCTAAAAAAGTAGCAAGTACTTTTATATATTTCTACACACTTTCGATACACGAGTGTGATTTTTTCTTTCTCCTAAAGTGATATATTTGAATCATAAATATCGGTTTTCTTATGGTTCTACCAATTTAACAACCTTATATAATATATAATACTCATTTATACTCAATATACCACAAGGAACCCCAGTGATTTTCCTCTTTTGGGTTTTGAACCAGAAACATTGAGTTGAATCCATTTTCACATGATGATTGTTATATTGCCATCATCTCATGGATCCTAAGCTTGCTTCTTTTCCATCATCTCTTTCCTCAGGGCTTTACCAACATCAGCCTGGACAAGGTCTTTCTCGGCGGAGCAAACATTAGTGGCTTCCAGATAATCAATCCTGAAAACACAGTTGTTCAACAGTTTCTCCAGAGATGGGACCGTCTAGATGAAAGAGAGTTTCCTGAAGCTAGAAACACTCCGCTGAAGGTCTGAAACTACTTAAAGATATACACCAATCGTTGTTGTCTCTTCTTCTTCTTCTGATCTTTGACTTTTTCTGTCTTTGCCCATTTTCTTTATTTTCCTTCCTTGCAACAGTCGATATACTGACATTCAGTCCAAGGTGCTATTAAAACTGGTGCTCAGTTTACATCTAATTAAACAATGATCATGAGATGAATAGATTTTAAATGCTGTTTTAATTAAGGTTTTATTGTGGATGGGTGGGTAAGAAATGACCATGCTCTCATCGAACTGGCAAGCAGGTTTAAAAACACCTGAATGTTATAAAAATGTCCAAGTCACCAAAAAAATCAAGGGAAGATTTTAATTATATTTTGCTTAAAAAAAAAGCTTTTAGGGGCCCAGTACATAATTTGCACTGCGTACGGTTTGTAAGTATATTTCACACAATAGACTCCTTTTATTTTTTTTATTTTTTTCTTTAATTTCTCACTGTGGAAATTCGCACTTGCAGCCATACACATTTTCCAAGTCTTTTCCAAGACGGTATTTTAATGAAGGCATCAAAAGGCTTTTTGAATGGAGAATGTAAATGCACAATGTCTCCTTTGATGTTACCTTTGTTATATTACGTTTATTTTAGTCGCTAAATTCCTCACTACAGTCGCTTTGAAGAAATACAAAACAATACAATAGCGTAGCTCACGGCAAATTAGCAGATGCCAGCTCGTTCTCTTTTCTTGGTTGAAATGGGATGTAATTACAGGTTGCACCCATGAACAACAATAGCAGCAAAACCCTGTAGAGTCTCACATAAACTAAACATTTTACATACTTATCTCTGTAATTAGAAACCTGGTTAACACTCTTTACATAGCAAGAAACAATGCACAAGCTACATCCCTGAAGTGTGTCGTCTTTTGTTGCATTTGCCAGCTATGATTACATGCAGTAATGCATCACAATTATCCTTCATTATGTACATCAACATGCGCTTGTAGACCTGGAAGAGGGCAGCTTATTTGAACCCTCTTCGAAGTGTTTACTTACAGATAATGTGTTTGCTTATTTAAAACTGCTCTACCAAATAACTGTTAATGTGAGGTGCTTAACGGTTGTTGTGTACAGTACACTTCAGCGCTGTCTTATGATGCTATCCTGGTCATTGCGGAGGCGTTCCGATACCTGCGACGCCAGCGAGTAGACGTGTCCAGACGAGGCAGTGCAGGCGATTGCCTGGCTAACCCTGCGGTCCCTTGGAGCCAAGGCATCGACATTGAACGAGCTCTCAAAATGGTAATACGTCGTTCTTTTCTTTTCCTCATACAAGATTCTGAGAGCTTAAGCTTTTATGAAAATGACAATAACCATTTGTAATCTCTCAATGTGTAATTCAGATTGTCAGAGTGAGTACTTTGAAATGAATTATGCCACCGTATGATTCATATGCGGTACTCTGACACATCCTAATGTATTCTTAAGTGTCAAAGCACCATTGTTATTTTACTGGTTTCTTTGTGTTGTCGTTTCTGGCAGGTCCAGGTGCAAGGGATGACTGGCAATATCCAGTTTGACAGCTTTGGTCGCAGATCAAACTACACTATTGATGTTTATGAAATGAAAACAGGGGGCCCAAGAAGAGTAAGTCATCAGTAAATCTGTCCATTTGTTGGGTAAGCTTTGTAAAGTCAGTGTAAGAACTCAAACCGGGATACATTTCGATATGTATATGTTAGTTTATTTAAAGTCCGAGAGAAAAAACAAAAAAAACAGACATACACATTTAAAATGTATAGTTATTCTCAATAGAGAAAATAGACCAAAAATACTGGTGACTCATCTTGCACTTGACTTAGCAACAATTAAGTCAAGACATCACAGGTAAATTGAATAAAAACCTCCCCAGTTAATTAATAAAAGTACATTATTACATTTTGTTTTACAAATCTTCTGAAATGTTATGTTTAAATATGTAAATGAAGCATTATCTACTTAAAAATGCACTAATATGCGTACATTTGCAGAACAGAAATCTGAACATTGCTGAGCATGGCTCAAAATTCTTGCTTCATTTTGTTGACTTGCTGTGTAAGAGTTAAATGTTTTTAAAGAGAAGATTTTGGATCTCTTTTTATCACTCCATAAATCAGAAAATACTGTCAACAGCCAGAAAAATAAATACATTTTCACCATAGCAATAAAATGTTATATAAATCAAGCAAATGATATATGAGCAAACCATCTGTAAAAACCTTCAGAATATAGATAGAAAGAAAACTGTGAAGTCTGGTGTGTGTAAGTGTTACTGAAGGGATATTTCTAGCTCAGGGATGGATGGATGGATGGATGGAAGGAAGGAAGGAAGGAAGGAAGGAAGGAAGGAAAGAAAGAAAGAAAGAATTCACAATAGTGCATGGTGCATGAAAAAAAATAGTCTTTCCTTAATTGGTTCCAAAAAGACGTAGCTGGACAAGACCTTCAATATGTCTTAACTTCTAATTTCAATAAGAAATGCATCACAGAAAATAAAACTGCTCATCAAACTGTATTCATCTTTAAAGCCACTATCCCCATTTAAAACAGTTTACTACCTACCACTTACAGCAGCTTGAATCAACATAACCAGTATTCATCAGCTTTCTTGTGAGCTAATAGAAACTGCCCTTTGTAACACAGCATTCCAGCAACAATCGCCACGGATGAGAGTAGTTTAGCCTAAGGTTAGATGGGGTCAGTGTTGGTAAGGAGAAGTGCACTGACAGTGGCTGTCAGAAGTGATGTACAAGACTGTGTCGGACTCCTCTGCAATGTCACCTCAGTGATGCCCTAGTGGCTAGTGCTATGCTAACGGTTATGACACATGCCACTCAACCGCTAAACAACTCCAGCATATAGCGAAGAGGAAACATACATCTTGTGATAACAGAATGCATAAATCATTCAAACCTAACCAAGTTTCGTTTTTGTTGAGCATAATTACATCCAAGAGTAACTTCCAGCTTCTGCATCCCTGAAAATTCCACCATAACCATTTTTTCTATTTAACAAATGTCAGCCAAGAATTTGCCTTTTTTGTTTAACTCCAGGCAATAACAGCCGCAGCACGGAGACCTAATACTTTTTTAATGAACACAGTCTTATGAGAGTACACATCCACAACAGCCTCCTTAGCCGAACAGAAGGGCTGGGTCTGCTGTTTGATAATAACGCAAATGTTTTCCCTTTGCAGATCGGATACTGGAACGAGTTTGAGCGCTTTGTTAATATAATGGATCAGCAGTACACCAACGATTCCTCAGTGGAAAACCGAACAATTGTGGTCACTACTATTATGGTACACGCTCCATGACGTTTTAAACGTGTCGCATATTCTGCCCATCAGGGTCATGGTGTTGACTCCTAGATTGATACATTCTGTCCTGGGCGGGTAGAAGTACATTTCTTTTGTGTTGCTTTCCATCCACTCATTACACGTTGAAACAGTCGAACGCGAGGAAACGCGGCGCATGAGTGTTTCAACTGTATCCGTGTGGGTGTCAAAGCATTTTGATTTTCCATATATCAGTGGCCTGTCGTAGCAGTGACATCACAATAACGGCATTAGGTATGATGGTTTTACATTGACATCATCAAAGTAGACATACAATGCATATGTAGGTAAGACTTGTTTCCACTCATCAAGTAAATGGTCAATGACACATGAGCTACAACAGCAAGCTAACGCTTACCGCGACAACGAAGGGTTCGATGGTTTGCCCCTGGCAAAGTTAAAGCGTATTTGAGCGAGGCCAGGTATGAGGCCCCTGCACAGATCCACTTTACATTGACTGGAGGACTGCTCGGTGCTGACGTATCACTTCATCTCCTGCCGTTAATGACATTAGCTTTAGCATCAGCCTCCAATTGGCAAGGCCAACATGCATCTCTGAGGAATTCAAATCAATGCTCACAACATCATCCCATGTAAAACAACAATCACTCGTAATTGTTTTGTTTCACCAAAAACCAAGGTCAGTCTTTCAAATGACTTGAATGTGAGCAATTAAACCAGCAGCTGTCGGTTATTCCATCAGAGGGATTCAGGAGAAAAACAATCGGACAAAGGATGAGGTGAGAGGATACATTCAGCACAGAACAAACAAACCATTGCTAACCCACTGGCACCCTAATTGTCTCTGACTCTAATGGGATGCGTTCTCTCTGCGAGAAGCCATATTGTTTGGTAACAATGATGTGCTTAAAAAAGCAAGCCGCTGCCGCAATGTTTGAAATGGGGGGCAAAAGAGAGGGTAAAACCAGCTTGCGCAATTTTCTTTGTTCAATTCTGTTTGTCGACAAAGTGCTTTTGAGTTTGGATCCTAACAATGGCTTTGTTTTTGCTTTGGTTTGTTTCCCTACTGAAAAGACCATATATTGTGTTTTGGGATGCTGGTCCCCAGCATGGCACACTGGTATGCTGCTGGTGTTCCCACCAGGCTGTTTATATAGCTAAACCTGTAAATCAGCCAATATCACTAAAACGGTCATGCTAGTTGACCTGTGCTGGTCCAACAGCTAGACCGAAACAGCAGTAGACACCTAACCAGCAATACCCGGCATAAACCAGCCCCAAAATGTATGCTGGTATAAGCTGGTCTTTTTAGCAGGGCTACAGTATGTTCAATGTTCTGTCTGTTGGAATGATGAAGGCTTCTGTCGCATATAGGTGCAACGTGCTTGAATGTGTCTGAACAGAATCAACACTATGATTCCTCTGCAGTCACTGCCATTTACTTCATGAATCGGATTCCTTCTCACTTCATACGTTCTTGCCTACCTCACCTCTCACCCTCAACTGCCAATGCATTTCAGATCCCTGGGATATTGCACCACGGCCATGTGTATGTGTGTGTGTGTGTGTGTGTGTGTGTGTGTGAGAGTGAGAGAGAGAGAGAGAGAAGCAGAATCAAACCTACTTTGATTTGTCTCCCATGTTGCTTAATGGTCTCAGACCCTGTTTACACCTGATACATCCATCTCCAGTGTTTTGAGCCCAAGTGGATAGTGCTAAATGTAGGTAAACAGAGTCCAGAGATGCATCAGAGGTGGTCAGGGATGCACATGACAGCCACTCACCATGCTACAGTGATGTTTGTGATAAATCACAAGTGGTTACTGAAGATGCATGTTAATTCCAAGGCCCTTCCAAACCTAGATCCAGACTAATACCAGAGCCCCGATCTAGACCAATAATTCTAGAGCAGGCATGGGCAACTTTAGTCCTGGGGTGCGTTTCTCAAATCCATCATTAGATAACTATGGTCATTAGTTCCATTGAACTCTATTGGTAACGACGGAACTTGTGACCAGGGAAACGCACCCCTGGATGGTCACTGTCCTGCAGAGTTTAGTTCCATCCCTAATCAAACCTGTTAATTTTCTGTTAAAATCTGTAATTTTCAGGCAATCCTGAAGACATAGGTTAGATCAGGATTGCCCACTCCTGTTCCTGGAGATCTACCTTCCTGCAAAGCTCAGCTTCAACCCTGATCAAACACACCTGAACCAGCTAATTATGATCTTCAGGAACACTTGATAATTATGACAGGTGTGCTGAAGCAGAGCTGGAAATGAGCTCTGCAGGAAGGTAGATCTCTAGGAACAGGATTGTGCACCCCTGGGTTAGATTTTTCAGCTGCATTTTTGATTAGGGATGGAGCTCTGCAGGACAGTGGCCCAAACCCAAACCAAGAACCAAGAAGGAATTTATTGCAGCATTCATTTCAAAACACTGTGCCACTGTATATAGTAGCTAGGCAGCCACTCAAAGTGAAACTCCCATGAGTTTCTTGCAAATTCTTTGTAGTTTAAAAGATACTGTGGCAACTAGAGATTAAGTTGATTATCACCAGTAATAAGTGTGCTTGAACTCCTATAAGAACTCCTATTAGATCACTACAAATCACACTGTGCGTCATGGATCTAATAAACTTGGGTTTGACGTGTGTAGCCTGTACAATGATGACACCTATTTACTCGTAGGCTACGACGCATGTTACTATAGAAGAATAAAATGTCATTGGCATGTGCTAGTGGTAAACAAAAATCATGATGAATCGCACTTTAGCAGTTGTAGTTTGTATGTATATTGGGAAAAAAGTGAAAGCGGCAAAAGAGGAATGCATAAGAGCTTGAGGTAAGCAGTTTTATGTTTTAGCGCCATGTCGCGTTGATTTCATGTCACTTTTTTATTGGCTGGTCAGTAAACGTGGGTCGTAGCAGCAAACACACTGTGCGATGAGCATGCTGAATTTCTGACACTGTCAGAAAATGATCGCAGGCTATCTTTGGTTGCAAGACCGTGACAACGGCCATCTTTGAATCTCTCTCACTGTACGACAAAGGATGACCATTTAGGAGCCACGATCACAGAAATCGCCACGATTGTTTCACAATGCCAGTCTTTCGTCTGGGACAGCCGAAAATCCTGTGGCTCGGGGTTAAGACATGGAAACATTCATGTGATTTCTTGAGGTCTCAAGACTAAGAGCATGAGATCCAGACTTGAACTCTCAGACTGTACTTCAGGTGGGCCGTCTTTGAACCTCTCTCACTGTACGACAAAGGATGAGCATTTAGGAGCCACGATCACAGAAATCGCCACGATTGTTTCACAATGCCAGTCTTTCGTCTGGGACAGCCGAAAATCCTGTGGCTCGGGCTTAAGACATGGAAACATTCATGTGATTTCTTGAGGTCTCAAGACTAAGAGCATGAGATCCAGACTTGAACTCTCAGACTGTACTTCAGGTGTAGACAACAATTTGTCTAAGTTGGCAACCTGTGATTGGATCACCTGAGATGGATGTTAATACCAGGTGTAAAGAGGGCCTTAGAAATTACCTGTTTGGTCTGACTGTGGCCACATGTGGATCAATGTCCCTCAATCCCCTGTCTGCTGCTTCAGTCGTTCCTCTTGTATGTGTTCCAGTTTGGTGGATTATGTGTGTGAGAGAATGGGTGGGTATGAATGCACAGTCATGATATCCCAGCATGCCTGCATGCCTGTGACTGATAAGCTGTCGGTGGGCTCTGGTGCCTGTGACACCGGACAATGAAAGCAATAAGCTAAAATGGTAATAAAAGAACGTGTTTGATTAACAGGAAGCTCCATATGTGATGTACAAGAAAAACCACATGCATCTGGAAGGCAATGACAAGTATGAAGGCTACTGTGTCGATTTAGCTTCTGAGATTGCCAAACATGTCGGGATTAAGTACAGACTGTCCATAGTCATGGACGGAAAATATGGCGCCCGTGACCCTGAAACCAAGTCTTGGAACGGGATGGTGGGTGAACTAGTCTATGGGGTGAGTACTGGATTTGTTAGGAACTCTTCCAGAGAAACACTAACCTTTCCTTCTGCAGTAGTCTCTTTTATTCATGAACCTTGCATAAACGATATAAAGTGAAATTGCTAGAAATTGCTGTCAAATAAGGGTTTGGAAGACGTGAATTGCCTTTATGTCTTTCGTTCATGGGAAAGAGCGTGGGGAAATTGACTGGAAATGCCTGGGTGTCATTCAACTATAACAGCAGCCACAGTGCTGGTGGCGAGACTGTGTTTTAAACATGCTTGTGACGAGAGGGGCGCGGCCGAGAACCGTGGGAACGGAGCGAGGCGAGCGGACGACTGTCGCGCACAAACAAAACCAAAACACAAAATAAACTCCAGGCCGCGCCCAGGCAACCCGCCATTTTTGCATTTGTCAAAGCGCTCCCCTGCTATAAATGGAGGAAAACCCAGTGAAATCACTTCCAATTCCCCGAGCCGACATTCAAGAATGAAGACCATATACAAAATGCATGAGGGTTAGGCTACCTCATCTGTTCAATTTCCTTACCATCAGCCAGAGAGATTGCCTGGTTTGAACATAATAGTGGTCAGATAATAATGACAAACATCTCTGAGCCACGTTTGACCTTCTGATAAATATGTGACCCTGGACCACAAAACCATATATACCGCTGGGGTATATTTGTAGCAATAGCCAAAAATACATTGTATGGGTCAAAATTATTGATTTTTCTTTTATGCCAAAAATCATTAGAATATTAAGTAAAGATCATGTTCATGAAGGTATTTTTTTAATTTTGTAAATATATAAAAACTTAATTTTTGATTGGTAATATGCATAGCTAAGGACTTCATTTGGATAACTTTAAGCAATTTTCTCAATATTTAGATTTGTTTGCACCCTCAAATTCCAGATTTTCAAATAGTTGTATCTCGACATATCCTATTGTCCTATCCTAACAAACCATTCATCAATGGAAAGCTTATATTCCATAAGGATTTTTTATTTTATTTTGATTGTCTGTTTAAAATAAGTCATTACAACATTGTAAGTCGCCTTGTTTATAGTCTCATATTTAGTTAAATGCTGTTCATCGTTATTTAGCATGTTTTTATTACTAATTTTGTGTTGAAGTTTAACACTGTCACCCTATCTGAGATCCTCAGTAATTCTGCCAGACAAAGATTTCTCTCATTGAAAAAAGATAGAATCTGATAGTTATAGATTTTTTTTTAAACGCCCCCTTAAATAGCACCAATGTAGCATTTTCTTAATAGCTCACCGTGTTCAAAAGTGTAGCTTGACTTTAAATTATGAGTAGCTTGTATCTTAGGAAGCTACACTTTCAAAATAACACTGATTGATACTGTAATCATGTAATCATATTATAATCATATGATCCACCTCTGTCATCTGTTGAAGTTTACAGACAGTAGCGACAGCTCTGTCTAAACAATGACAGTGAATTCCTCTGCTTTTATAATGTAGAAACGCTAAGGTTTTCATGGATTTGTTTTTCGCTACTAGCCATAAGCAGATAAAAACATGAATTGGATTCCTCTGGGATTCTTCTAAATGACATCTAAGTGGCAATGTTATTTAATCTCACTTTTTTTTTTTCTTTCACAGTTTATCAACAGCATTTCTTATCAATTGGATTTTACGTGTGCGCATTTGTGCAATACATAGCTAATTTCAGAGCTAAAAAGATCACATGCAATTATTTATCTAGCGTGCAGGAGACGCTGAGAGTTTTGAGGCATATTTCTTCCTCGCTGATAAATCACTTCTGGTAGACTCTTAATTAGCTATTTATATGCAAATTATTATATGATTTATTGAGACAGTACACCGGAGTTCCATTCACTACAACCACAAGATAAAAGGATATTAATATTTGTAGAGGCTTTTATAACCAGCGTTCACCTGCAGAGTTACCGTGACCTTATACTTCCTGATTGCATAACTAATGTCCTCCTGGCTGAGGACACATGTGAGATAAAAATCTTTCATTGCCTTTTTATTATACGCTCATGCTAGAGTGCCTCTGAGGATTATGGGAAGTGGGAAGCGGCTGTGCCTCATATCTGCAGTTCCCACAGCAACATTATGTGAAGCATGAGAAGGGAAGCATTCAAAAAAGACTTTCCAACAAAGTCTCCTGCTCGTTGCGATTACGCTCTGTTTGTCGCCTGATACAGCGGCGTAGGGGTCACAGAAATTAGCAAGACTCTTGCTATCTAGTCAAGCGAACGCTCAGCTGTCACTTCTCCGCTACACAGTCAAAAAGCCTTTTCTGTTATGCCTTGCATGTGCTTCTCTGAGGCGGTGAATGTCCTGTCTCTGTGAATGTCCTTTTTCTGGCTTCCTTCCCCACACCGAGGCCTCTGAAAACACTAAATGACCCCCTCTGAGCTTTAGATGTAATTTTCTGTGACAAATTGATCTGATTGATTTGTCCAAATGGGAATAGAAAGTTCCAGGTTCAAAAATGCTTCATGGACAGCATCTGATTACCTACAGAAAATAATTGTCATGGTACTGGAAAATATACACGTCTAAATTATGCATAGTTGATTTATATATAAAATTGTATAATATTAGAACATAAATGTTATATAAATATTATATAATTAATTATATAAATGTTATGATATATATGTTATGATATATATTATTTACAAATATTTAATATTTTTAATACAGTGTTTAAGTTTTAGAAACATAGAGAAATTGTATTTCAAATCCAATGCATGGAAGGCAGACTAGTGCCATCTGACTGGAGATAAAAAGAAAAGCATACAATGTTACCACTAGATGCCCATATGGCACTATTAGCCCTATATATAGAGAAAGTATTTTCAGGCATAGTTACTTTTTTCATTCATTTACTATGGTGGTCATTTCTGACTGCAAGACCATTAATTTTTTATTATTATTATTATTATTATTATTTTGTTCATATAGCAAGCTTCACAAAAATAATGTTTCAAACCATTCTGATGAATAAAAAAAAAAAAAGTTCAATGTTCAAAAAATTTAACCCTGACAGCTTAAAGTAAATTTGCAACTAAACCTGCCAAACCTTCTTTGTGATGAACAAATACCTTGCTAGCATCTGTTAATGTATATAGCAGTGCATGTTTATTGTACTGGTGCTTGTTCAGCACTAACACGTTTTGTTCATGTCCCCGTTTCCAGAGAGCAGATATAGCCGTCGCACCATTAACAATCACGCTAGTGCGAGAGGAAGTCATTGACTTTTCGAAGCCCTTCATGAGTTTGGGCATCTCCATTATGATCAAGAAACCTCAGAAGTCCAAGCCCGGTGTGTTCTCCTTCCTGGACCCTCTGGCATATGAGATCTGGATGTGTATCGTTTTTGCCTACATCGGCGTCAGCGTGGTGCTGTTCCTCGTGAGCCGCTTCAGTCCCTACGAGTGGCACCTGGATGAGAGTGATGAAGCCAAAGACCCCCAGACCCCTCCAGACCCGCCTAATGACTTTGGGATTTTTAACAGCCTGTGGTTCTCTTTAGGGGCCTTCATGCAGCAGGGCTGTGATATCTCACCAAGGTTGGTGCCTCATCGCTGGGTCACTTTATGGCCGTAAAAATGGAGTCCATATGTGGGTTTGCATGCATAGATTACAATTTATCACTGGTTTAGATACACTGTGGTCCTTAGAGCAGATATAACTGGAAACCATTTCAGATTTTCAGTATGGCCTCAAACCAGATTATAATCTGTGAAATTATAAAACTGAAAAAATTATGAAAAAAAAAAAAAAAGGGAATTCAGTAGTCATTCATTTTACGTTTTTGCATGAAACGTTACAGAGAAGCAGTGCTGGGTAGCAGTGAAACTGATTACATGTAATCTGGATTACATAATCAGGATCCGAAAATTAAGTACTTATTTAGATTATATTGCAATTTAAAACACTTGTAATCCGACTACAGTTACATTTTTATTGATTACGTGATTACATATTATTCCCATGGTCACATGGCATACAGGTAAACAGGTATAACATTCCATGTTTTTTTATTTAAGTGATTTGTTTTGATTGTTAAAATTTTAAAAAGATTCATTTTAATTTTAATATTTTTGTATGATTTTATTAATAGTTAGCTTTTCACAAACTCACAAACCCCCTGCATTTCATTCACAAATCTCTTTTTTTTTTTTTTTGTCATAATATAATGTTTAATAACAATGAATGAAGTATATATTTTTTAATATTTGTATTTTTATATCAGTATGGTAAGATTATCATATTTAAATCAATGTGATAAAACAGTTAGGTCAAAAGTAATCTAAAAGTAATCAAAAAGTAGTCCAATTACATTACCTGCAATGTGTAATGTAATGGATTACGTTACTAACTACAATTGTTGTCATGTAATTTGGAATCAGTAACGGGCTACAATTTGTAAGTAAATCTACCCAGCACATTAAATACTTTACAGTTCTAGTCTTGATGGTAATTCCAGTTTTTCACATTTGAAAGATAATGCCGACACAGCTCTAGTTTTAATTTGTTCTTTTGTAAAGGATTAGCTGAGCAACATATTCTCATTTCGCTCTTTTTATGTATTTCTCATTTACCCGATTCATTTATTGTTTGAGAAGTCCTGCTGCAGCACTTTGTAGGCATCTGTGACGGAGATGTATGATTATTCACATTGTTCCTCCATTTAACAGCAGGAAGTTGATTAATAATGAGGCCATTGTGCGGCTTGCTGTCATAGATCATTTTGCAGAGTCCCTCATATTCCCCTGTGCTGGCTGTCAATTGTGTATTCAATAAAAATGACTCAGCAGCACCAAAAAATAATAATAATACAGTCAAATGAAAGGATCATATGTCAATCTATCATATCATATATCAATAAATAATTTGGTAACTTTTTACTTAAAGCCTTTATTTATAATGCATTATAAAGGTATTCATAATTGTAATGCATTATATATTTTCAGAAATAATTGTAACTGAAATTAAAATGCATTACAATATTTGAAGGTTTGTTTGTCATGTGTTTTAATGCATTATACTTTCTAAAGGTGTAACAAAGAAGTATTATAATACACTGAACAAAATTATAAACGCAACACTTTTGTTTTTGCCCCCATTTTTCATGAGCTGAACTCAAAGATCTAAGACTTTTTCTATGTACACAAAAGGCTAGACAGATTTGTGAACAATATTTGGGAGAAATAGGCCTTTTGTGTACATAGAAAAAGTCTTAGATCTTTGAGTTCAGCTCATGAAAAATGGGGGCAAAAACAAAAGTGTTGCGTTTATAATTTTGTTCAGTGTATATTACACCTGTGGTTACAGTTATTCATGAGATCATACAGTGCATTATAAGGTTTATTACAAGGCATAATTAATGCATTAAAACTACCTTTATAATGCATTATATGTAACGTCTTACCAATCATGTTCATCAGTTTATCATATATCAATCTAGTCTGAGGCCATATTGAAAATGACTGAACAATGCAAACCCACATATGGAAAAATGATAAATAGCATTTGGCCTGGTCTGTTAAGCCAGAGTTATGTGGAACACTGTTGATTGGATATTACATATTACATGATTGTATCGCTGCAGAATAGTTTTCAGATGGGTCCATGTTATTAAAAACTCATGTTAATCTAAAATTCAATAATTATATTACTTAAGTCCATAAGAGTTTCTACTTGTTATTTGCACTCTGTACATATATTTCACAAACCCGCATGGTTGAAAGAGCACGTAGTTTACAGAAGGGCAAACCGCCTTACATTCAGCCCAAGGCAAAAACACTTTAGAGGAAATAATACAATCATTGATCCCATATGTTATTTGATTATGCTAATATATTGTCTAGGCAACAGTCAATAAATGCACAGCTGGAAAATAAGCTTTGAGCTAATGTGACTCAAACTTCTGCGAGATCAGAAATGAGACACTAACTCAATATATATGTGTGAATATATTGTATTGGCGAAAATTGCTTTTCTATGTGCATGGCTAAATGGAAGCTCAGGATGCAAGTCATGTGTTTAAGTGGGTAAACAAAAAAACAGCAGCAGTGCCAGATTACAGTAAATCAAACGTCAAGATGATTTGATACAGCAGGTTTAGAGATGATCAGCTACTATGGCTTATTACAAAGAACGAGACACTGCAGTCGCTTCCTCTACAATAACCACTTTTAACAAATATTTAAACTGATATTTAACTCATTTATTTTATTCATTTCTAATCTATTATTCTTTTTAGGTCTAAAGTAAACTTGTTGAGATGTAAATTTGTAGACGTTCAATAGCTCACTCAAAAATGAAAATTCTGTCATCATTCACTTACCCTCATTTCATCCCAAACCTGTACGAGTTTCTTTCTTCTGTTGAACACAAAAGAAGATATTCTGTAGAATATGTGTAACTAAACAGTTGATGGTAGTCACAGTTAAATACTGTATTGTAATCATACAATATTGAATACAATTGTGTGAAACATCAGGAACATATTCAAGCCTGAATGCCAGTATGTGTGTGTTTGTGCATCAGGTCCTTATCGGGCAGAATAGTGGGAGGCGTCTGGTGGTTCTTCACCCTCATCATAATCTCGTCCTACACGGCTAACCTGGCTGCTTTCCTCACAGTGGAGAGGATGGTCTCTCCCATAGAGAGCGCTGAAGATCTAGCCAAACAAACAGAGATCGCATACGGAACCTTGGACTCAGGATCAACCAAAGAGTTCTTTAGGGTGAGTCTCCTACCGCTTGAGAGAGTAACATTTCTGCATTGATCTTCAGTTGAAATCAGCTGAATTAAAATGCATCAAGCTTCAATGGCTCTGCAAGCTTTCAAGTCAGAATTTGTCCTTTAGTTAGACTTGTTGCTGTTGCGTTTTTCATTTTCAGCAATCACAAAGAACTCAGAGAAGAAAGGTTCCCAGAGCTGTTTGTAGCGCCTTAGTCTTTATCAACCATTTATTTAATTTAATTATTATTTATGTGTTTGTTTTGTGGCCCTAAAAACTATTTGGACACTTAGGCCACATTTAACATTTCTAAATGTCACAGCATTCGCTGAAATAAACCAAGTGACAATTATTCAAAGACGCATAGCGTAAGTACAATTTACAAACAAAATTTTTACCAAAATGTGTTTGTGTGTGTTAACATGACAGTAGTGCCCTCTTAAATGTCTTTGTAGTGCTTAAAAGTCCCACTGAGGTGCCTGATTATTCAGTGTTGACATAATTCTGGAGTGCACTGTGAAATCAGACTTCATTCACCCACAAGGAAAGCATGTTTAAGTTGTCCAAATCGCTCCCTATCCCCTACATAGTGCACTATGTGCCATTTGCCATATAGAACATAAGAAATATGCAAACAAGTAACCAATTTCAGCCGCAGGTTTAGTGTCTTTTACAGTGTAAGGGGCGGGACGCTTCAGATTCTAGAGAGCATTTGATTGGACAGAAAATCTGATGAGAAGCTGATGTGCAGAATGATATCATCAAAATTGTTGATCCTCATTGGTGGTAGAGAGACTGTACATTTTGAATGCATATACTGTATCTTCCAAATGTGAATTTTGTCATTGTTTTAGTGCACACTAGCTTACTTTAAAACTAACATTCATACTAATAACCAAAAAAAAATTATTTAATATGAATTTAATATGAAAATATGATTCACAAGGTCGAGAGTTCAAAAGAAGAGTCATGAACAAGTTGAACATGCAGGTGTTGAACTTAAAGACCTTCTTCATTGCTGAGAGATGACTGGGTAGATTTGCAGGCTTTGTTTTTAGTTGATTACGGGTCAGTATCTACTTCATCCAACACTCATTTGGATCTTGTTACTGTTTTATGCTGTGAGAAACCACTTCAAACAAATCAGCGAGCGTGAACAAATGTCTACATAAAACATAATTGTTGAAATATTGCCAGAGAAATGTAGTGTTTGCCAATGGTACTTTCCAAATTAAGTACTACTAAAAGCAACATGATTGTAGCAATGCTACAGCTCAACACTGCTGTTTATCTCAGTGCAGCTGCTCTACTGGCCAAACAAGCCATTATCACACTTTTAAGAGCTCTCAAAAACTCTTAGTATTTACACTTCTTAGTATTATATTAAAGGGGTCATCGGATGCAAAATTCACTTTTCAAGTTGTTTGAACATAAATGTATGTTGGAATACATTGGCATGTATGTTGGCATCTTATAATTATAAAAATCCATCCAGTGTTTTTTTTTAAATCCCTATTTTAAAATCCCCTTTCTCAAACCAGGCTGTTCTGAGATTCCTGTCAGAATGACATAGATCTGTACAGGCCCCTCCCACAATAGTTGATTGACAGTAGTGTTTCAGCACAGACTGGACAACGCGGTCACGCAAGGGCGTTCCCAAAGCGATCTCGACGCAGCTCGCAGTCTCGTTCCTGAAGGGGAACTTATTTTTGCATGGTGCCTTGCACAATACAATGTCATGGCCTCAAAAGAATTTTACCATATTGCATGATTTGTAAAATAATACACCTTGACTTTTGCATTGCTAATCTGTTTCATATGTATGGCATTTCTGCAGCAAGTAAACTTGCTCGGTAGCGCACCTGGTGCAGAACTGCACTTAGTATAAAATAGCTTAAAGAGTTGTAGAAACAATCTAAAGTGACATATCTGCTTCAGGAAATGTGCTTCTTTCTCACTTTTGCTTTTGTTAACGTTACTTTCTAACATTAACATTGTTCTGTTTTGGATGAAACTGAAAGCAATTTTACTACCACATACTGGACACTTTCTTGTGAAAGGAACTGAACAGAACTAACACTGAACTGACCTCAGTTGAACAATGAAACTCTTGTTTTTTAGAGCAGAAATGACCATTGCTTGCATCTTTGAATATTTCTGCCCTGTTTATTCAAGTGTTTTGAAACAATCTGTACAGTGTTTGCTATATAAATAAAGGTGACTTGACTTGAAAGTGTCACAAAATGTGCAAGAAACATTTTGCAGAAATGTCACCACAGGCATATTTTTCCAGTGAATCTGGGTTGTAAAATTACCTTCATAACTGTAAAATGCTCAGAAAAATGGTGCATGCCATTTGTTATTTGATTAGCTGACGTTCATCCATGTTCCATTTTGGATGCCGGTGCTTTGATTTCTAAGTTTCTTTAGTAGTGTAGCTACTAAGCCTGGGTCAGCATGGGAATTCATTACAGCAGGGAGGCCACTTGAAGCTTGTTGTTGGAGAACAAACAAAAAGAAACATTAGCTCTGCCAAGAGCTGCAATCGCTCCTTTCCCACACCTGCTTGTTAGGGAAATGCCTCTCTTTTAGCTGAAGCAGTCAGTCAGGTCTGCGCTATGCAGCCCTTTTTGATGAAGCAGTCATTAAGTCAATGGAGATTGCTGTAGGTGCTGTGAACAACCTCGAGTTAGCCTGAGCTGTCAGAGTGAAGGGAAGCAAAGGCAGACAGGCGTCTCTGTAGCCTAATCAAATCCCGCATATGGCCATAGAGGTCAGCTCAAAAAACGTAATTAGTTGCTTTACCCGGGTTTGCAAATTGTGCGTAATGAAAAGCGGCCCAGAGGGTCAAATAGTGCACTTGAAAGATATTTAGAATAAAGTAAGCAATACATCCACGAGTACATCGAGACTGACATTGCAATTAGGCCTGATATGAGCTATCTGCATGTTTCTGTAATACTTAAAAAGTGTTCGCTCAACACACATCCATTAGGAGGTATGTTTAATGCCCTGTCAGCTGCAGGTTTGCATGGCGGCATGCGTTTGATGTCATTAAAGGTTTGCAAGTCGACAACCGAGGGTTTGGGGATCTCAGATATTCCATATAATGAGTGTCCTAGTTACACTCTACAGCTTTCAGATTTCCAATGGCATGTGTGAACTGCTATTTCAAGGGACTTTTAATTAAAAGCACAGAGGTTTGACTGGGGGGGGAAAAATCCTGATTAATGGAGATTCAAGCTCTATTTTAGATCTGTTTTCAGGAAACACATTCCAGTTTAATTAGAGCCATACGGCGGAGAACAGCTGGATGTTTCAAATCATCCACAACATGGAGCGAGACATATGTCATCATCTTTGACACAAACCCCAAGTTTATTCAAATTTCCTTCCCAAATATGCATATATTTACTTAATTTATTTGCTTGGTTTACTTAACATTTAGAAATCAATATTTCAAAGTTGTTAGTCTATAATGTATTTTTGCTTTGTACTCAGAGAACCAACTGCACATTGTGTCAGTATTAACAAATGTACTGAAATATATTATAATCCTAGGAATGTAAAATCTATTGATGCAATGCAGTGCATCATTCGGACAATACAGGTGCATCTCAATAAATTAGAATGTCGTGGAAAAGTTCATTTATTTCAGTAATTCAACTCAAATTGTGAAACTCGTGTATTAAATAAATTCAATGCACACAGACTGAAGTAGTTTAAGTCTTTGGTTCTTTTAATTGTGATGATTTTGGCTCACATTTAACAAAAACCCACCAATTGTTTGTGGAATTAGATTTATTATGATATGTACTACATATACACAGAATTTCGGTAACACTTTATTTTAAGCACCATTAACTAGTTTCTTATTAAAATGCATATTACTAGCATATTAACCGTTTCTACATCACATATGAATGCCTTATTCTGCATGACCATATTTTAGATTTTTTAATCCTACCTCATACAAAATAGTCAAAATAGTCAGTTAATAGTGAAAATTTGTCCTTAAAATAAAGTGCTACCATATAAAAAATAATAATTAAATAAATAAAATTCTTCACCTGTGATATGTATAATTTGATATGTTCATGTGATATATAATCTCTCCTAGTACATTTGAATCTATGAAATGATGTGTTTGTTACCTTTAACAGGTTTATACAGGTTTATCTTATGGAAAAAAGGACAGTCCAGTCAGATTTAACAGAGAACTGTCTCCTTGAAGAGATGAAATATTGCATTTATTAAAAAGGAGATGTGGTGCATGAAATCTTTTTTTATATATATATTTAAAACTATCACTGTGCCTCTGGCCCTGAGGAATCTGTAATGATTGAGAGAGTCGGCTCAGGTTATTCCTGCACTGAGCAATCAGCTGGGTGATGTTGTTAAAGTGCTATTCTTCACTGACAGGTTTTAGAGCAAAGGAGAGTTTGTTCAAATCTCAAACAGCGAAGTGTCATTCAATTTGTCCTACTGACAATGGAGATGATTTGTCTGACATTGATGTATATTTGTTCTCCTCTGAAACTCAAACAGTTTTATTGAAAGAGTGCAGATGGTGGATAACATGTAATCCTTGATCAATATCTTCTCAAGGTGCTCACATCTGTTTCTCACATAAAGAACAGCAGCTGATGCCTGCGGTTCACCGCATTTAACACTGCAGGCGTTCATATGCACACAACTCCAGCTTTTGTTGACTACAGTAGTTTTATACTTGTGTAATACAGGTGTAATACTACTACTGTTCCACTCTGGTTTCATCTGTTGAACACACTGTGTGAAAGAGATGATTCTTTGTCACACGCTATTAATTTAGGTATTTAGATCATTGATTTCCCAAGGGCACACCGATGAAGAAGTATACTGCTGAGACATTTCATTACTGTTGAGAGAAACAAAAACTTGGTAGCACTTTATAATAAGTATACAGTTTATCAGTTGTAGTTGTTAACATATTAAAGTAGTTCGCTTCCAGAATGAAAATTTCC